GTCAGGACATTGAAAACTGCTATTGATTCTATTGCCGCCTCAATATTTAATGAGCTGGAGAGTGGAGTAGTTACTCTTCTACTGCAATATAGAAAAGCCACACATTCTGTGACGAACGAGACTCTATCAAAGCTATTAATAGGAAGGGTTCTTCGGTCGAATATGAGGTGTTTGGAGTCTGCAGAAGTTACATATTATCGTGGCAATGATCTCCGACCATCCACGGGGATTTTTCTAAAGAATGTCGGGAAATCTATGGTGCGACTTCTAGATATCAATGACTTAAGTACACACAACCGACATGTTGATCAAATACAATTCCAGGAACCAGGTGAGTCTGTTCCAATTTCGGTTGTTAATTCTAATACTAATGAGTGCATTCTAGATAATACAGAGTCTTTATCTAATACACTGTCTGACAGACACAAGATGAACTTGAGAAGAAGACGTACAATTGGTTAAAGACACTCAGACTCCAATTTAAGCTGTGGTGGATGTGGTGTTTGAATGAACTAATAACTCCTTTGTACTCGTTGAATGCCTGATTTCGAATTCTAAATACAGTACATACGTTCATGCTTATCTAGTAGTTCTTGATCCATTTACGTTATTTCTGGGATTATTAGTTCATACTATAATTCAAAAACTTCTAATCGTCATAACAACTTAGAGGTGCTTGAGATCAGTGAAACACATTGGACTCAGGCGGAACAACAACGACTAGCTCTCATGTATAAGTGTGTCAATATCTGTAATAACGTTGAATTTCAAATATTTTAAGTTGTAAACAGCTGATGAGAACCTAACGAAATAAAATGAATTCATATTAATCTGCATCAACCTTTGTTCTTGCTTTCTTTAAAATAATAAAGGGAACTATGTGAATGAAAAATTTGGTTCATGGTTAACAGTAGATATAGAATCTCAAATGAACTACATTATTTTGTTGTCAGCAAATTTATCCTAATTGTTGTGACCTCTACTTCATTACGGTAGTATATGATATACAACTAACGGCACACGAACGCACAGAACCCCGAAGTCGCAGATCAGAAGACGGGAGAAACAGGATAAGTGATCATTGAGTAAGAAATCAAATACGTACAAAAAAGCATGGGTTTTTGTAGTTATTAATATTGGCTGTAACATCAATATTACAGCCTCCTCAAGGAGGCATTCTGGAAATTTCTATCAGGTCTTAATTGGATAGAATCTCTTTGGTTTCGTCGTGCTTCTCGAAGCCGTTCCAACGCTAATATGCAAATTTTAAAAAATAACATTTTTAAAATCTATTTTTGTGAACTGCAAATGTTCTTTATTATTCATTTAAAAGTGGAAAGAACATTTTCATTTAGTATCAAAGAAAGGTTAAATAAAGTATTAGTCAATAAGGAGAAGTACTTAGAGAACACTGAAATGCTACTTGATTATATACACGTACATTAGTAAACAACCATAGAAAAGACAACCATATTAACAAATAACTTCAGGCAAAAATGAAATTGTCTTAAACTATTTGAATTGATCTTCATTATTTGAACTAATCAGTGAAGGAATGGAAGAAAGAACCTATTGCTCGAGGAAATTTTGAAGAAAGCATATCCGACTTTTCAATAGCTTGAAGGTAAACTAAACAGACTGACAGTTCGGTTGGTTTTGTTCACATTAAGAATGACTCGAAGATCGAAACTTGACTTGAGATTGCTTGGATTTAGAGTAGCATAAATTTTGAATAATTTATACTCTCCCCGTTAAAACGATGAAGGACATGTTAATAAAGAAAATTCAACTGTACTTAGAGAAAAAACTTGAGACAAAAGTGAAATATAACACCTCGGAAAAAGCTAGTATTCTGATTGTCCTTGTTCTAGAAAACGTGGTATCCTCACATACAGTTAAAAATATACTTGCGATCGACAATATATCAACATTCCGCAATATTAATTCTCAAACCATGTTGTTAGGTATGACTAGTGGCAGAATAAGGACAGATTTCGGTAGTCCAGTTCTTTTCGAATTTTGAATGATATTGCCTCTAAAGCAAGATTATTAATATTATTATATGTATCAATCGATACTTTTGGAAAGTTGTTAACTTATTGTTTATTTACTTACTGATAATAAACAATAAGATTTTAATTTAAGAAAAGAAATAAATCACACACTAGTGGGAATTTATTCTGGATCTAACCATGGAATTCAACCTTTATTAATTAAACTAGGTAGAATCCGTTGTTATAGTTACCAAATGTTGTTATTAGGCGCTTTAACCAACCGGATTACAGATATGAAATAAGAAACAGGTGAGAATGCGCCTCACTTTTGGTATATATATAGCAGGAAAAGTTTAGGGTGAAAAATTCAAGGCTTATCATCTTAAAATCAAGAACATTGAAGACAAATGGAAAATATACACAAGAACCCAAAAACCACCTTTTTCTTATTCCAGCTGCTGTCAACAATTTGTTCAATGTTGATAATAATTGCCATTGTGACCTGCGAATTATACACACATAACATAAGAATTGTCCCACTGACATTTTATGCAGGTTACTGGACAAGTCCATTTATCCTATTTACCGCCGTAATTTATTCGATTGAAAAAAGTAGACAAGATGGAAAATTTTACAAACTAGCTATATCCTTCGCTTTATTCAGCTTGCTTGTATGTTTGATCGGCATTATGTTCTCGTTATTTACAATATATTGGATTATTGACATCATAGATGCGCAAGTTTACTATGAATATCGGGTAGAATTCATTGTTCAAACGGCATTGCTTATTTTGGCTAGTGGAATATGTCTAATGGATGTTATGTCATTGACATGTTGCTGCTGTTTAAACATTTCAACCGTATCAAAAGACACAAATACTCACCAAAATAATTTGAGAACTCATTCAAAAAAATAAACAATTACCAACTCATATTACTAATGTCACAGATCCTTTACAATTACATTCTTACCCCCAAGGATATCAAGTAAATCAAGGTTGTGATCAGAATTATAGTCAACCTAATGGCTTACCACCACCTTACAGTTAATAGCAGGAACCTTAAAATACATCGTTATAAACATCTTTACTGTAAAATAGAAATTCCACGTGAAATGGTTTCGAAAATCAATATATCTGTCGTCGATACTAATTACAAACCTACACCTCAACATTTGGTATGAAAGAAATCCCCACGCATTGCAATCACTTATAAAGTAAAATGCTCATTTCCTTTCAGATTCTGGTTTTATGTACATAGAAATATCTAGCCCCAACTAAAATGAGACGATTTATGAAGAAATATTGCACAGACTTGTGTTTGATGAATGACCTGCATAGTTGCTGTGTAACCTGTTTAAAGTTAACTGAACCGAATGTAGCCTAAGTAACCCACAACAAATCCACCCACATTCCGTAAGAGATGCCGACACTGCCATTCTTTCCAAACGGAGTTAGTTTCGGAACCGAAACTGAATGACTGAAAACCAAACACATTAAGCACTAGACTATTACCAACCATCGTCGGTTACTCGAATAATGACGGTGATGATTTTTGTTTCTGCAGACTACTTGACTTGATTTCTTTGAACTGTCGGATTTGTTTTATTACAAGATGTTTACTACGCATACAACAGTTGCATTTACGATGTAGACGTTTCAATTTTGAATGTTCCAAGTCTTAACATTCAGACCAATTATTATTAACACCAAGCACTTTCTATTGTCTTAACTGACTTATAAATACCATAAATACGACAGCGAACTATCAGATAGAAGCAAAAATATAACTGAGTTATTTAGTTATGTTCGCTAGCCAAAACAGTTGACCAAATAATATCGCGAATTGTATACATACAATATATTACTGACTAATTAATGTCAATTACCGAAAATTATATGCACTTAAATTTAACCGTTGATCAGATATTTAAGATGACATATACCCCAATGTCAGATTTGTCCGCTGTTAATCAGTGGTTGGTGTATGAATAGAACTTCACTCGAAAAGTACTTCCTACCTGGGTCTAGTAATATCAATCTACGGTCCGCTGTGACAAGTATCATTTTTCATAGTCATAACAACTAGCCATACAAGTAACAGTACAAGCGTTTCACAGTTACAACACAAATAGTTAAACCTCTTTCGAGATATTATTGTTCAATAGCACAAGGGGTATTTTATTTGTTACTTTGTGCTTAGCTTTTGGGGTCGTATTAAAGGTTCCAATTTGCAATTTATCTTAAGCAAGTATGTGACCTACACTGTGGATTGCAGCACTTCGGTTTGTATGATCAACTATAGGCTTAAAAAAGTAGCCTTTTAATTGGAATTTTTAATCGACCGAAAGTAACTAAGTTAGAGCCACAACTTTATGTACTTCATTACAAGTCACACTATAGGCGCCCATAATCCAAATTAAACTAAAAGTACGTAGTGCTTGAGGATGTCAAACAATAATTATAAACCGGATTGTATCCAAAAGTTATCGTAACACGTTACATGTTTTGTGAATCATCTTCACCAAGCTTTCTAACAACATTCTAGTACACTTAAAAATAAACGTACCAATTCAACATTAAAATATCTGATTACTATTGAGAGCAAATTTACATTTGGAAAAGAGATGAGTTTGAGATTCTAAATATTACAGCAAGTACTACGAAACCACAAAATATGCGTATTATACAGTAGAACAAACGATTTGATATTTTTTAAAAGTGTGCATTCACTCTTAGTACGATTAACGGCTAGCCTCATTGATATACTTTAATGCACATGTTCAGTGTCTACATTTCTTTTCCCTACGACTTATTATTATAAAAAATCTACTCATGTAACCAACTGAAGTTTACTTTCGTTTGTAGCAAATAATTTGAAAATATTAGCCATAAATAATTTACGTTTCATGAAGACAATACATATAGTATCAAAATAATAACATTAGCAAGATAACGAAAATTGAATAAACAAGTCTTATACATTAGCGCGTAGGTTTTAAAGAAGTTACAAAGAAGAATCTAGTCTAGCCGCATGTGTCCGAATTTTTCCGAAAATTTTGTTTGGCGGAGCACCTAATATCAGATCACATATTGCACGTCGGGCAACTGCTATACGGTCATTGCTTCCTAGAATGTGGATGGTTTCATCGGCAACAACTATGCGAGTTCGTGTAGCGTTTTCAATGCACATACGAATACGACCTTTAGCACCACAAATACGCCCAACTGCTCGAGCCATATGATCACCCTGAAAAACAATTATCAGAAACCGTATTAGAAATGATATTGATCGAACGGTATCGTGCGACACATGCTATATAAAAAGTTTCGGCTCAACACTTCAGGGAATTTGTTGAGCTGAGTTCGAACTCTAGCCTGACATTTGTTCAAGTGGATGGTATTGAGCGGCAAAATGGTAATTATTGTACGTGGTTAATCTGCTTAACTTGATTTGAGTAGCCAAGAGTTATCAACATCTGTTGCAGAAAAAATGGTTCAAAATCGAGCATACGAATTCATATATCGCAAATGAGTTGCATAACCAACGTTCTGAGTCTACGAATTACCAATGACCAGAGTTAAAGTGCAACTGCAACGTTTAAACGTTGCAGTTTACAATTGGGCTAAAAATTTTTTAGCCCAATCGTAAACCATAATTTGTGGGTGAAGTATTAGCATCGATGAACAAAATCTTCCAGTAGGATTACGAGCTGGTTCAATTACTCTACGATAGAAGAATTATGATTTACATTTCAATAATTTTCGACAATTAGGGTCTACTTTAAGAGCCTGTCGTTCATGTATTATGTAACCGATGAGACGAAGTTTGATATTTGTGTCCGATGTCTTCAAAATTCGACGTTGCAAACTTGATACCGAACGCTTCGGTTTTAACTTACTAGGATACCAAAGCAAGTAATTTTACAAATAAACCAGGAAGTGTAATCGGGACTGGTTTTCAACGGATGATACTGCCACTTGAAACCCACAAATGTTAATTTAAATATATGATCACCTTACAGTTACTGCATAAATGTATTATTTGCTAGATTTACGACCTTAACATCCACACTAAAGAAACACTAGGTAAGCTCCGAAAATCCCAATTACTCATGACAGGAATCGTAATACTATACTTATGAAAATAGTCAACCATGGTTACGGGATTTATAAACAATTGTTCGTATCTAAGTTGATGGATGAGAAACGTCAACTTACTTTGAGTGTTTGTTTCACATCCATCATGTGGAATGAATTGACGTAGATACCGTCTATTCTGACCACAGCTAATGCGTCTTCGTACTTAAAGCCTTTCAGAAAAGCGTTCACGAAGTCACAACCTTTCTGTAAGTGCTGGGCATCTCTTGTTTCTGAAGATGGTTTGATAAATACTTTCCATAATTTCTTATCTGTTTTCATGCATACCATAAGTTTGAGCTGCTTTGTTAACACCTACTAGGAACTTTAAAAAACATACAGATTTGTACCTCAACAATTGAAGGCCATGAATTGCGAATTGGTGTCCTGCGGTTTTTAGGGACAATCAAGGTCCTAATTTCACCAATCTTGCTCTCCGGGGCTGTCATGTGCAGATTTACAAACTGAGCGCCTGAGGTTAAATGGTTCAAAATGGTTCAAATGGTTGTGGACCGAATAGAAGAAGCTTTCGCTTAACAGGCTTCCGTTTCTAGTAGCAGGGGATCACCTATACCTCCAGGCAGGAACCTAGGTATATTAATGATAAAAGAGAAGAAAAGAAATCGGTAAATCATAGTAGGATACTATCCTTAGTCCTTAAGAATAGATCAAGTCGTCTCTTAAAGGACTCCCTGAAAGTTGCTTGGACTAGCCCAGCGAATTATACTCCTAAGGGGTAGAGGATGTGCCTGCAGTCCGTTCTACTATGTTGTATCTCCAATTTCTGGGTGTTACCCCATAGGTTAGTGTTGGGACTAAGCTTAAGTAGGTGTTTAAGAGGATGTCCGGAAGTGTGAAGGAATCTGTAAGCCATTAGAAGGTCACCTCCAAGACAGATATACTCTAATGAGGTCATTAAACATCGACAAAGATCACAAGCTATAAAATGACTGTGCATAAAATCTTTCACCACGTCAAACATCTTTGCTAGAACCTCGGTGGTAGAACCCTTTTCGTATAAATACATTCTGAATCAAACTGCCCAAAACAAAATTGCTTGATGACATCTTTCGGGACGGTTAAGAAGTTAAGCTATTGGTTCACGCCTACATGTTACATGTTGTCGAGATTTCTGAATGTCGTTGTTTATCAGCCATTAAAAGCATCTTCGTAATGTTTGCGCTCGTTACATATATGTAAAAGCTATAGTTGTTGTTTTAGTTTATTAGTAGTTTGACGTATTTACTACTCAAAACCTGGATGAGTGTCTAGTCAGCCTAATGTGGTTATTTTCGACAATGCAAACTCAAGTAAATGAATGGAATGCTCAAACAATGTGCGAGACTAGGAAAGTCTTCCAAATGGCTACAGAAATGAGAAGACACAACTGTGGTGTTTGAATGAACTAATAACTCCTTTGTACTCGTTGAATGCCTGATTTTGAATCCTAAATACAGTACATACGTTCATGCTTATCTAGTAGTTCTTGATCCATTTACGTTATTTCTGGGATTATTAGTTCATACTATAATTCAAATACTTCTAATTGTCATATTGGCGTCGCGATGGAGCCTGCGATGGAACAGTTAGATATTCATCCAACTTCTGAACCTTTGAGGATTATTTAAAAATGTTTTAAATCTGGAGCATGACCAAGAAAGATGTTAAGGATGATAAGATTGTGGCACATTTCTTGATATTCATCGGAAGAGAAGCGTACAGCTTATTAAAAAATTTGGCATATCCAGAAAAACCTATCTCACTTCCTTATGTAACCATTAAGGAGCTATTATTAAATCATGTAAAGTTTACTAGTTTTGAATGCCGTGAAAGGGCGAAATTTCATAAGATGATTCGTCAAAATGACAAAAAGGTTAGGGAATTCATCCTTGAATTGCAGAAACAAGCTGCCAAATGTAATTTTGGTGATCGACTTCATGTGCAACTGAGAGACCGATTAACCGCAGGAATCAACATACCGGGTTTGGAAAGAGCTGTTGAGAATGCCCAACTGTTCCTTTCAAGATGCTAGAACTGCGTGTATTAACCACGAGGCAGTGAATGAACTTGATATCCATTCGATGAATATTTCTAATACTTTGCTTAGTCGTCATGATGGAATACAATCTCAGGGTCAATCAAAATTGCGTTCGTTTAACAGTGGCTCCAATTCCCGTGTAAATATGAAAGGTGTTTCAACAAGGAATTACAAAGGAAATCACAAAGGTGAGACCAAGTTTGGCAAATGTTTATCATGTGGAAAACTTCATTCTCGTAATTCATGTGCATTTCGTAATGCTAAATGTTTTAGATGTGGTAATATAGGACACATTCAAACAATATGCAAAGCTACTGTTCATTTTGCCTCAAGTAGTACTAAATCCTGTAATTTAGATCCCAATAATTCAGCTGTTCCTAATGATCATTTATCTTTGCCTACCATTTCGAAAGGTATTACTCATATTCAAAAGCGATTATATACATCTCATGGTTCATGTCATGACTTTATTGTGGACACAGGCAGCATAGAGTCCATTATTTCATTCAAGAACTTGAAATCTCTAGATCCTAACGTTGTGGTACGACCCACTGAGGTATCAATATTGGGGATTACTGGACACAGACTGCCTATACGAGGATGTTGTGAGTTGCTAATAAGAGATGACAATTCTTCATACATACCTTGTGAATTTTTAGTTAGCGAAACAGGACTGTCAATACTGGGCTTAAGGAGTTTGAAAAGGCTTAAAGTGGAGCTGTCTTTCCTAGTTTCTATAGAGAATTCTGATGCTTTACTTAAAGATTTGATAGTCACGTGTGCTAAGTGCAGTGGATGTATGAAGATTCAGCCTATAAAACTTCAAGTACAGGGTGAACCAGTCTTTCTTAAAAGACGAATAATTCCTTATGGTCTTCGAGAGGCAGTACATAAAACATTAAACGATTTGTGTGCGAAAGGCATGATTGAACCGGTTCAGTCTTCAGCATGGGGTACTCCTATTGTTACGCCACTGAAATCGGACGGCAAGACTCCTAGAATATATGGAGACTACAGAATAACACTGAACTTCCGTTTGTTGAAGCAAACGTGCACGATGGTAGAGGCTGAAGATATTCTAAGTGAACTTCACGGTTCTAAAGTGTTCTCGAAAGTTGATCTAAAAGACGGTTATCTTCAAATTCCTTTAGATCAATCCTCATCCATTTTGACGACAATTGACACTCCTTTTGGTCTGTTCAAATACAGTTTTTCTTCTATTTGGTCTAAGCTGTTCTCCAGATATATATCAGGAAGTTATGAATAATGTAGTTAGTGATCTTGAGGGCGTTGAAGTTTATCAAAATGATCTCATTGTCCATGGTTCTGATAAGGTAGTCCATTACCAGAGACATATTGCCTTATTGCGTCGTTTAACTGAGAAGAATATTACAGTGAATCCAAATAAGCGTTCATT